CAACTGAAGATCTGATCCTTTAAACCTTACTGGGTGAATATTGTTGTTATTGTTGCTGTGATGTGGGTTGGCTGTGAATACTGCAACAAAATTCAATCTCAGCTAGAGCACAAACTGTCCTGTGTGTGTGATTATCCTGCAAGGTGGAGATTACAGCATCAAAAACCCTGATGCAGCACATGAACAGGTACAAAGACAATTAAGTATACTGTACTATACACACACACACACACACACACACACACACACAGACAACAACAACCAAAACCCAAATCAGATATGAAATAAATCAGATATGAGACAAAATCGATGTGCAAACACGGCAGCAGCCTGCGCAGCGCCGTTCAATCCTTCCCAATGACACAGTGACCTTTCATGAGCGGCTCACACAGACACATGCACAAGTAAATGATCAGCAGCTGCACAGGATGAAGAGGGATTAGCTGCTGCGTGCTGCTAATCAAATGGAAGAGCAGAAAAATTGTATTAGTCTGGACGAATAATTGAGTTAGAGCTATTGAAGGACAGTCACAGCTCGGTACAGTATCACACACAACTATTTAATTCTTTTATTCGGTCACAGCAACAGCCACTGCTGATCTCGCCTGAAGATTTACAAACGCAAGAAAACCAAAGCAAAACAATATAGTGTTTGTGAATAATTTTTCACTGTCATTTTTAATCAAAGTCATTGAAATAGTAACCTCCTCCTGAGTGGAATTTATATTAATGTTTTATATATATATCACATATATGTATTTTTATATGTATATACATATATATATACATGAATATATGTATTTATATATGTATATACATATATATACATGTTTGCATATATATGTATATTAACATGTCCATATATAGAGAGACATATATACGCATATATGTATTTGTATATATGTAAATAAATATAAAGTATATTATTTGATGGCATATTATATTCTTTTTCATATGCAACAAAAATGTAGCTGTGTACGATTAAAATGACAAACAGAGTCTGCTGCGCTAATGATCATAATTTTCCCATTAGAACAGTGTTATTTACTTCATTAGCTAGTTTCAGGAGGATTAAAACTGGATGTGAAGAAATCATGTTTTTTTACCAAGTTGTACAGGACTAAGCTAACTAGCCCAACAAAACATGGACATTATTTATGTATTTCAATACAGTCCAATACAATACAATGCAGTCAGAGTTAGCAGAAAACCGTGTTTCCCCACAGTAAAACGTACTAGTGCGGCACAGTTAATAACAATGTCACGCTGTACAAAGACACAGTTTTACAGAATGCAGAGAATTGTTAGTTCAAATCAAGGTGGATGTACAACATAAGACAAAAATGAGTTCATATATCCTTGAATCTGCATTGAACGATGACAGGTATGCTATAATGTTAGCAGTGACGTTAGCATGCTCACCTGCTTTAAAAAAAAACAGGTGAAATTAAATTTGTTGTTGATTGAACGCCGTTGATCTCCTATTGGTTAGATCGTTTAATCTTACAGGCGGGGGTGTTTGTTATGGCTGGGTTCTTCCTGTCTACTTGAAGAACCCCTGAAGTAAGCTCTCTCACCACTTTTTCCAGCATGTGGATTCTATTTTTAAAATGTTAATTTTCTTGTCAAAGAGGTTCTTTGAATAAGAACTGATGGTATGTCTGTACAGTGACCAAACATATATTTACTGCAGCCACCATTTATGTTACCATGTCTCTGTAACCAAGGCCTCCACTTCCTGTCAACCAGCTCCTTCATGTAGACAGCAAATCTACCTTCATCAGTCCTCCTCCTGTCAGCTGCTCTTCCTCGTGCTCCTCTCCTGCCCTTGTCTTCCTCACTTTCCTATCCCTTTAATCTCTTCTCACCCTTTCTGCTGCTCCTTCTGTCGCCTTCTTCAGCTTCGTAATGGCTGCTGTCATTCCTGAAGACGGGATGAAGGACGGGGGCAGGAGACCACCAGCAGCTTCATTTTATTAACAGCACCGCAGCCAGGTGTGATGCCTTTAAATGGTGCCGTTTAAGTAATTGAAAAAGCAATACTCCAAAAAAAAGTCATTTGTACTAGTCCACCGTTGAAACCTCATGAGTGTGAGGATTTTGTTTTAAAGTAAAGGTGGATGAATTATTCACGTCTGCAGATGTTTATTTTGAAACTGTTTTTTTGGCATTGAAAGGTGTGATGAAGAGTGACCAAACCTAGTCGGAACTCACAAACATGCATATCATTAAAATCTAGGGGGGAAAAAAATATTGGAATCGGGTGGTGGTAGAGTAGTCGTATTAGGCTAGGCCGTTTCTTGTCCATTGGAAAGGGGTCTTCTTGCTGCCCTTCCTCCTTCTACCACAAAGACTAAAGTCAAAAGTCATAGTTACTTCATAAAATGGGTGGTGATGTTACTCTGTGGAGAAGGGGAAGTTACACAAGAACATACCAAGCCACCCATCATTGGTACCAGGCACGCTGATAGAAAACTTGAGTGACTACATGAGCAGATCCCTGTGCAGTGGAGAATGAAACTGTCACAAACCCAGAGTTAAAATGTAAGTTAGGAGCGTCTCACTGGGTGCTGCTGTGTTCTGTCCATTAGAAAAAGCTATGAAAGTGACGTTTGGAGAGTTACATGCTGATTGTTGGACGTTTGTCTGTGTAGTCCCTCCTCTGTCCAGAAGGAAAATGATTACACGGCCTTTCTCATGCCATTACGCTATCGTATACTCACATAGCTTGAAGCGAGAGACTGTTGTCATGCAGACTGTTTACTCCTGTTGCTATTGTTAAATGTTAACCACTGCCAACTGTGGAACAAAAATGCACCATAAAAAGTGGCAGTGTTGAAGCTACCCTGTTAAAACACCTAATAAAACTCTAGGAAATGACTTTTGTTCACGGGAACAACCTGACGGTCTAAGAACTGAACGCAAATTTCTTTAAAAACAGTTGGGAAAACACATAAACAACATACTCTATTATTTTCAGACAATAATAAATTATTAATAAATGGGAAATATATATAAAAAATCTCCTTTATAATTGTAAAATATCTAGCTGACTTCTCCTATCTGTGGTGAATTATTATGTTCCAGGATATCAACATCTAGAAATATTTAAATCCAGGCTAGCTTGACCTTTATAATATGTAAAAAAATGTGCAGCTAGGCGAACACATCACAGACAAATACTTCTCGCACCTTTTACTGTGTAAGGCCTATTGTTTTAAATATGGTGTCCTATCATTTTACTGAGAAGTTTTGTAATATTACAGGTCATATTAGCGAGCTAAAATCTAGCTAAAAATGCTAACAAAAAAAAAAAGAAAAATTCAGTAGAATTACTTCAAAACCAAGCCCAGAAGTGATACATTACATTAAAAAGTATAAATATACGTATATACACAGGCTTCCGACAGTTCTCTCCTTTTTCCTCTCTTTTAAAAGTACACTTTGAGCCAGAAGCACGTTAAAACCAAAATTACACACAAACCCAGACTTGGAGAACGGAGGCAGTCTGTTTAATTAAAGTTGCCACACTATATTGTCTGGGTTTGGTTCACGGAGGTTCCTTTAGCCTCCAGGATGTAGACAGTTCTCAGACGACACGTTAGTGTAATAAAGTTTATTGAGAAGATGGAGTTGCCCTCCTTCCTTGACACCATAAAAATATTGTCGACTTTGTTTTTCATCATCTAAACAACGGAGAGCGAGGAATCAGCAGGAGAGAGGTCAAGTGTGGTTAAAAAAACAGAGTGAATATCTGAGAAGATGCATAATATAAGATTTTAATATTGCCAACATTATTCACTTATATGGAGGTTCTGTGTCTTACACTGAACACATATCTCTTACATAAGGAACAATGGACTCTAGCTTGAAACTGGCGGTAACAGAAAAAAATGAACAAAGAAGAACAAGAAAACAAACCTTTGGCACAATCTGTTTCTTTATACTTGGAACATCACTAGAGCACCAATCAGCTGACAGGATTCACCAGAAGGGGGCGGGGGGTTGTTGAGATGATTATCTGCTGGGACTACTGCTGGAAAATAAGCATTTAGAATGAACCAAACAGAAAAAAAGAGATGTTGATGTTCAGTTTAGCGAAGCTTTGGTTGGTGTAACAGTGAAGGAGGCCAAGGATAAGTTAAGATGATTGGTGATGATCCACTTCAGTGACCCCTGAGAGGAACAGGCAGGGAAGAAAAGGTTCTGCTTTTGGCTTCTTTTTCCCCTTAATCATTCTGTTCCTTGTGTTTGGCACATCTGTTTTGTTACTTAGTCACCAACTCATTTACCTGGTTGGTTGTTTTTCAACTTATTACATGATCAGTGACGTTTCTAAACTGACCCTGTTGACCTGTTTTGGGTGGTTTTTTTGGGTTTTTTTTTTGGTGGTGGGATTTGTTTCTTTGTTTTTATCAGTCCTTTGCCGCTGCCTAAATCCTAGGTTGGAGAAAATGGAGTGCACTGTGGGTAATTTATTGAAATCCACCTAAAATCCCAGTAATGTAGTAGTGAATACAGATACTGCAGGGACCAACACTGTGCCAAAACAGTCTCACTCTCACACTGACCCAGTTGTAATTTCATATTTTGACTCCAAAAATAACATCCACCTTTTACCATTCACTGCTATAAAGCACCCAGTATCAAGAGGCAGCTTGAACAGTAACATTTCTCCATAAATCTCGGTCACTGACCTACTGAGATTTTTTGGTTAGTTGGTTTATATTTGTACAAATAGATGGTTTCTTTTCTCTGTATATGTTTCTGTGCTGACCTGTGTAGCATTTTCTCTACCTTTCACCCTATGACAGCTGGGATTGACTCCGACTTAAGAGTCTTATAACAGTACCAGTAGTTCAGGCAAAAATACAGTGAAAATGGAGAATCAGTGAAACAGTGTTCATCATGAACTGTAATTTGGAACTGGTTTCTGTCCTTTTCTGTAACATTATTACTGCCTTTGCCGTGACTCTGCCTATTTTCTCTTTAATCAAAAGATCTCGGAGCCTTCTCCTCCGTTGCCACTCAATCAGACATCGCTCTGCGCCTGAGAGAAGAGTCTTTGATTGGAATAATCAAGAACTCTTATTTTGGTGATGTTCCTCGAGGGCAGAGACACGTCACGTCTTCATGTCAGTCAAACAAACTGTTTTAGGTTTTTTTTTTTTTTAAATATACATTTGTTCATTTGAAAAGCTTACATCTAAAGCTGCAATCAGAGACGGAACCAATGATGATGATGGGGATGATAATAATTACATTATGAAAAAAAAGGCAAATTATTGTGTTGTTTTTTCTTAGACAAACAGAAATGATGGGGAGTTTTCTCCTGAACTTTTCCAGAAATGTCTCAGATTATGAGAGTTTCAGTCAATTTAATTTATCTGAAAAGTTTGGGTTTTTCCAAAAGTCCAACTTTTCCCCAGGTTTTGTTGTTACACATTAACCCACGACTACAAAAGTCAGCATTTACATTCACTGTACAGATGTTCCTTAACTTCACAGAGGCCTGCACACAGGGTGCGTTCAGAGAGAACATCAGAGCAGAATACAAAGCGGACATGGAGACACAGGAAGACTTAAGCAGACGACTGCAGGTAAATAACAGGCAGATGTGCAGGGTGGACAACAAACGCAGTCTGATGCTCCGAGTCGGTCTTTTTAATCCATAGAAAGCTTGGAGTTTATAGCCACGTGATGAATACACTGACTGTTTGCTGCAGGTAAACACAGACATGCATGAATGATTTAAAGTGAGAATCACCTCCAGTACGGTGCAGAGTATTTGAAGTACAAAGTACCAAACAAAAAACCCTTTACGCATGTTGAAACTGCCCAGTACTTCACTGACCTTCTGACTTCATGTCCCCAGTTTTATGGATTTCTTTTTCAGAGAAGTTCTTTAGGGAATGGTATTCCGGACATTATGGACCTGGTCCTTTTCTTCCGGTTATTGTAGTGTCCTGGGAACAGTTCTGAGTTAAAGATTTCAAATGTTCAGAAGATCACAAACAATAACATTGGAGATTTAAAACATAGGACATTCATGACACCAGATACAGGCTTAGTCCACGGTCTGGACTGTCTTGGCGTGCGATCCGGATGCGAACTCTGGTCCAGACCTTGAGGAGCCCTGGTTTTAATGGATCATGTGCTCTTTTCACCTGCTGTCTTTACACATAATTCCAAGCACTAGACTAGCCTACTGTACATCCACTCTGTTCAGGCTCAGTGAACCAACCTGTGGCTCAGTGTTCTACTCAAGGACACATCAGCATGTTAATGCATACTGTTTAACCTTTGACCTTGTGGTTAGAAAAGCCCCAGTGAGATATTTTCGGTGACATTTTATTGGTAAGAATTTACTACTCTTCTTGCGGTCAACTTGTCACATTGCTCAGTTTTATATGCTGACGTCTTACCCTTGGCTCTGATCGTCTCCAGTTTTCCAATATTACACATTCAATTTTTAACACGCCGGACATGACTAAGGTGTCTCTGATGCTTCTTTACAGGCCACGTCAAGTGACAGAGCCAATAGTCGTTTTTCTTAAACCAAAACTCACAGGATCCCTGCCAGCAGACACTCAGTGAGAGTGAAGACCACACGTCAATTTTAAGACTGAGCAGCAACGACGTTTCAAAGTCAAAGAACAAGTGTCTTGTTGCTCATACTTTTTCTTTTACACTAATAAGAACCTGTTTTAATGAGAAGAGGAGACAAAACTTTTTTTCGCAGGCAAAACAAATGTGAAAATGTGCATAATATGAATATTTTGATTCTGGAAATGTGATGAACATATTAATAAACATTTCATCTCTTGGCAATTTGTTTTTGTATTTTAGAAGAATACAGATGACACAACAAAGTATGTAGTATTCAGTTTGTATCCGCCATTGTTTTTACTTCTATGAGAATACACACTTACGTCTACCAGAGGTCTGGCATAACTTTTAGAACAATCGATGCTTCAATGTTATAAATCAGTGAAGAAGTTTCCATACTTCTACTTCACACATGACTTTATCGAGGAAGTCCAGTCTCTTTTCTAAGTGTAACTGATGTCTACAGGAACCACGTCCATTTCTCAAATTCCCTCAATGTCAGGTTTTCCCACTTCACCCAACAGTATTTCGGTATATTCCTGCAGAAACAAGTTCAGAAAAATCCGGGAATTAAAATGTGTGCTTTCTAATCCACCTCTGGCTTCATTAGGATTTCACACACACTCGCAGTCACTGTTCCTGATTCATAAGACCCTGTCATGATTTTCCATTACAGGCCTGTCACCTCACACCATGGCTTTTATTTACCCTCAGCCTCACAAAGCTCTCTGCTCTCCCTGCTGCTGTCAACAAACCCAGACTGAACGTGTGTTTACAGCTCACATTCTCCTTCGCTCTGGCATTAATCTCCTCTTTTTCTTCCCCGGTTACATGCTCTAACACACACTCACACACATGAAACAGGATTAATCCTCATCTCTGCAGCCTGTCTCCTGCCACACCACAGCTTGTACTCCGAGACTCCACCTCTGGCACTACATAAAGTTGAGATTTACTCCTTTAATTTAGATGGAGTGTACATTCACCGTGTAGCGTTGGGACACCATGTCGTACCGCTGTGGCCCCGGTGATTTATTTTGAGCATTTTGTGCATCTTAATTTAGTGCAGGTGTCAGAGCAGCAGTTCCTACCGCTGCTCCTTAACATTCCGAGTCCTGCTGTTTTTGTAATTGCAGCCATTTAATCAGGGAACAGATTTACACATGAGGGAGTCAGGTGAACAGAATTAAAGTGCAATTAAGTACCTGATAGGACAGAAAACCGACGTGAAGTCGCTGCGGCACATGAGGTTAGGAAGGAGGGACGAGGAGGAGGAGGAAGAAAACACCTGCATGTGTGACCTTTAATAGTCCTTCCAACTTGGAATGTCCAGCATTTGATATAATAAAAAATACTCTCCATATCTCTCCATATTACAGCTTCTACCGTCTGACTTAATACAAAATGCTACAGAGCTTCCATCAAAATCTCCACAGGGTATTTGTAAGAGCTTCTTTGAGCGACATGTAAACACGGTGTTCATGCAGAGTTCCAAAAGAAATCCTCTTACATTGATTTTCCTGGGGTTTTTCAAAAACGAAAAATAAAAATCTGCTCTAAATATATAATAAATGAATTAGTTCACAATCGTGAGAAGTATGAGAGTAAATGTTACTGATGTCACTAATAGAGGTCTATATTTGGCACTTTATATTTCTGTATATTTAGTATTCATTTGTTTCATTTATATCACAAGGCTTCTATTAAACATTTCTATTTTTAGTAACAGAAAGCTAAAGCTAAGAGCTAGCACATGTTAAAGCACTTTTAAAGCTCTTTATACAGTACTGCTGCTATCATTGTACCAGGAAACCTCACTGAACATGGTTTTGTTTATTTGAAATCATTTGTTGTGTCCACACCAATTGAGATGCAGCACAAACTGAAGCAAACAGTTTAATTTACTCACATCATTATGTTCTTTACATTGATTTTTCCCCCTCCTAATTAGAAAATAAAAACCTGCCACAGCTGCTGCCAAATTAGGTTGAAAAGTTCACGGGATCCATCTTCAGGTCGTGAGGGGCTTAACCTGCTTAACGTAGGATTTTTTTTTTTTTTCAAAAATGAGTAAAAATCAATGTGGACTTATTAGTAGTAGTTATTCCTGGAAATGAAAAAAAAAATCTTCCCTGCTGCCAATACATTCACTGTAGCCTGGCCACGTTTCTGAAATTGTCCAGAGCGTTTTGTATGTGAGAACACAGCGCTCCAAAAAACGAAGCTTGGATATTTTCGGCCATTGTACTGCCAGCTCAGTCATTGGATTTCAAGAAAATGTCAAAATGACCGCATGTCAGTCCATAGCAGGGAAATTTCAATGGAAGATCACAGAGAGGAAAGGGCGAGTGTCCAACCACCTGCGTATCCATCTCAAATGTCAGTAATAACCTGAACACTTTTGTCTATTGAATCCATGTCTGACCCAGACCAAAATGTAAAAACGTATAAACTCTGTTAAAGAAGTGAACCCCAAAATATGGATTTTTTTATTTAGAAAAAAAAAAAAAACAGTCATTGGTTTCATGACTGGTTATAAAAGAAGGAACCTCTAAAGACACTTTGTCTTTTCAAGAAGTTTAGCACTTTCAACTTACCACTACTTACTATATGGATAAAAGATTAATATGTTTCGCAGACATGGGTAATGTAAGGCAAAAGACTGTTAAACGGCTAAATAACGTGTAACAATGACAATTAAATATAATATAAATGACAAATACAACTGGTAGGCTTTATATATATATACCTTGTATATATATATATATATATGCATATATATGTATATATATATATATATATATATATATACATATATATATATATATATATATATATGCATATATATATACATATATATGTGTATACATATATATGTATACACATATATATTTAGACTCGCAGTGAAAACTACTTTAACTAGAAGTCCAGGGCTTCATCTTCGTTTTTCTACTAACTGTGTCCTTGAATGTGTCTTTGTTCCAAGACGCAAAGTCAAAAAGTTAGTGAAAAAAAAGGACAAATTTAACTCACCGTAGAAAACTTCTCTAACTTTGAAGCAACAAGACGAGACCATTTCTGTTCCTAATAAGTCTCTTGACAAACCGGGAGAGATTTTTTTTTTTGGCTTGTTTTATTACACACCAGCTTTTATTATACAACTAGTGACAGGTCCGACACGGATGCACACAAACCTGCTCACACATGTGCACACACACACACACACCACACACACCACATGAGATTCCATTTTTCATATCCCACAGCCTTTCATTACTTCTATCGTCTGCTCCCGTGTCACACTGTCTCTCCCCAGAAGCTTAAAAAAAAAAATGAGAAAGAACTTTATCTGTGACACGGGCACAAAACCAGCTTATCGCGTATGCATTGAAAAGGGCCCAAGGTGTGATACTGGCAATGGGAAAAAAAGGGCCACAGAGAAAAGGTGGAGGTCTATGAGGAGTTTTATTAAGCTGTCAGAAAATGAGGAGACAAGAGAATTGTGCAGCTCCCATTGACCTTGACCAGATAGCACCTGAAACGCCTTCATACATATTTATATATAAACCTATGGTGTATGTTGGCTCTGTATTATATACACTGTGTGTGCTCAAAAATGAGAAAAGGTTTTGTGCAGTCAATGACTTTCAAGAGATGTTTTTTATTGATCTTCAGGCGATAGGAGACAGCAGGCTGAAAAAAGAGTCATGTCGAAAGGATCACAGTGGAGTGTGGACAAGGCTGCACGCAGACACAGGCTGCTGCGGGACTCCACATCCAATCAAATACAGAGATAAAAAAGAGACACTTGAAATTAGTTCACAATTTTATAACCTCAAAAATACAGATTTGAGCTTACTTTTATAGCAAGTTGATTCTTTAATGACATTTTTATTATTATTATTAACATTATTATTATCTTAAATTGCCTTTGCTAATTTCTCACTGTCCAGTAGGACCCAGTAGGTGGCACTAATGGAACCTACAGAATGCAGAGCTGTCTTTAAAACTTAAGGTAGAATTAGCGAGGACAATGTGTTAGCTTAATTAGCTTAGCTTAGCTTTGATGGAAACTGACTATTGTATCGACTTCTTCTACTGTCCAGCGTTGACAATAGAAGTATCTACAGGTTGAGAACGGTAAAAAGAAAGTGCTTTAAATTCTTTAGTTTATGATCGGTTCTCTAAATTCTCAAATGTTTTACTTGACATTGTAAAAAAATCTCAGAAGTATGTGGTTAAAAATACACACAACAAATAATAACAGGATATTCAAGTTATGGACCTAGATTTGACAACTAGCGAGCCCTGCAGGGAGAAAATGCATACTGTTCCTGGTAAAAATGTAGGGCCACCCTTTGGAGGTGCAGAAATATTTTTGTGTGTTGGAATTTCGATTCCAATATTTTCTTTATTGTGAGAATATTACATTCATATGTCTTTTTTATTTATTTTTTTCTTCAGTAAGAATACTTTTTTTTATGGCGAGGGGTTTGGCAATAGTCGAAATTGAGGCACTTCAGAAAAAGTGAAGAGCGCTCCCTGCTGCATCATGCAGTAACTACCTTGATAGTCTGGAATGTAATCAAATGAAACCTCAGTTTAAGATCCTAACCCCAGTGCTGGCAGGAATATCTCTAGTTAAAAACTTTGAAAAGTGACTCGTCAGTATATTCAGAAAGTTTGTTGTCTGACATCTAGAAAACATAAATGATGCATATTGCACCTTTAAAGAATCTGTTCCTTTCTTCATTTTTTAAAGTAGAAGACAGCTCAGCAGCCATGCTGTCTACAAATCTGCCTAACAGTTATGACAGAAGATCTTATTAAAAGATAAAAAATCAAACTCTAAGGGAAACGTTTCTGTGCGTTTGCACCTCACCCAGTAGTGCACAGTTATCAGTCATCATCTGTTCCAATTACACGCAGCTACAGTAACCAGGAGGCTACCATCATCCACACTGTCCTCGTCTGGAAAGAGTCTGACCTGCAGGTCGGCAACACAAACAGCTTAATATGATTATTTATATTTACTTTTTTATAATTGGACCATTTTTTTGGACAGAGGTCACGGAGGATGGCTCTTCATTTCCTTTTCAAAACCAAGAGTCATTGATTTGTCCGACCTTCCACCTCAAACCGCCCTAAACGTCACAGTGTAGTTTACAAGAAGAGCAAATTAGGCAGAAATGTAGAAAATAAACAGCAAACA